ATCAATGAGAAATCATCAAATTGATTTTCTAGCAAGTATCGTTATTGTTCTGAAAACTTGAAAATCTTGATGGCTTCTATTTTAAATTGCCTAGTTATTCGAAACTTATTTTCTGATGATACCCGACCTTAATGTTAAAAATGATTTTCGGTCCAATGTATGCCTATAAGGCAGATCAAAATATGTTGATTCTGATATCGAAGTATTATTTCCGATTCAATGGGAACGAGGAAAAAAATAGTGATGTGAAGCCACGGAAAGAACTTTTCTCATGATTACAGGGTTTCTCCTCATTCCTTTTTTGCCCTCTTTGTTCTTTTTTTTTTGAATCGAGAATTGAATTTTCCCTTCTACTTGTCCTTATCAGTAAATATTCGTATCATCTGCTGATGAAATATCTTTTTCAATTTCTGAGTGGAAAAAAAATAGTTTTAATAGCTTTCTGATAACGTAACTTGTCTCTTCTGTAAACGTTTTTTTCCTTTTTTTTTGACAAAAGTAATTTCAGTGTTTCGATCACCTGTCGAAAGCACTGTTTCCGGATAGTTTCTTTTTTTCCAGGTTCCTTGCAGAAATTAAGAGTCAAGTGTTTGGGAAAAGAGCTTTGACGGCTAGTAAATTGAGTAAAAATTTTTTTTGAGATCGGTAAAAATATCCAGGGTACTTGCTATATATTTCGCATTGACTCATAGCTAAGACTGAAAGGATTTAAAAAGTGCAATGATAAAGACACAGGATAACTTCCAAAAAAATAAGTATTTCAGTTCCATAGGCGACATCGATGTTACTCTTTTTGCATTTTGGATTTTTGCTTTCCTGGCTCGCATTAAAGTAGGAAATTAATTTTTGTGAAGTGTTTTCACAAAATTTTTTGTAAGCTGGTTCATGTTAGCTTTATGTTCCTTTTTTAAAAGGGATGGAGAAAAATTACTTAAGTGATAATCATGCATCTGACAGCAGATTATTCCTAAATTTTTGAAAATTTAAAAGTTTAAAATTTCCAAGATCGAATTCATTACAGCAAAGATTTGTAGCAAAAGTTTTTCAGTTTTTATTGAGAAATGCTTCCATGTGAACTTTTGTCATATTTCTGATATTTGGAACCAACATTTCTTTGAATTTATTCCCCTTTATGCATAAGTGCAAATGATGATTTATTGATCTTGTAATATAGCGTTCTCTATCTTTTCTGGAGAGCATTGAGAATGTTTTCTGAAAATTATTTTTTGCGTGTCACTTCTTTAATTGAGTTATAAAAATAAATAGGAGAGATGTTTCCGTGTTTCTTACACAGTTTATTTATTATGTTTTTCTTTTTTAATATAAAACACTTTTTGAGTTAAAACTTGATGCTGACAACATCACGTAATCTTAGACATGTGCGGTACTGGATATACATGTATATGTCAGTGAAGGACCTGAAAATGTATCTATGGTTTTTTTTCTTTTTTTTTAGGGGGAGGGAGTGCGAGGGAAAAAACAAGAGTAATAATGGTTATTCAGTGATTTAGGTGTTGTTAGCTTGTTTTATACTGTTAAAAGCAGTTACAGTTGCACTGCAATGTGAACGACGGGCCAAGTAGTCTGAGAATTTATCCCCTTCAGATATTATTCGATTAAATTCGAGATACCATTTTAATCTTTTATATAGTTGCTGTCTTGGGAATATTATTTTCTAAGTTTTATAAGCAAGAAAACAAAGTATTTCGGTCACTGAAAAATTGAGATCTGAATTCATTACAATACTTATGCAAATTATGACTCTTTTTACATCTTTTCTGGATCACTCTGTTGGGTGAGAGTTTTTTCAACGATTCATCTGTTGAGAGGAGTGTAAAGAAGAACATGGTAGCAACTGGTTGAGTTAATTATTAATTAAAATATGCAACTTTGAATTTTTCTACTGTCTCCTTTACCTTTCCTGACATGATATCTTCTCTGTAAATAGTATGTCATGGCGTTTTTGGATGCAGTAAGCAGGTATACGTTCGTATTCGGGATGTGTATTGTGGAATAGTTCTTGTCATTATTTCATCCTATTTATAATGTCAGGTGTAACTAGGATTAAGTAGTATGCGTAATTGGACTGGAACTTTTTCGTTTTTCATAAGATGGGCTTTTTTCAATTTATTATATTATTAGAAGTTGAAGGAGTAGTTGTAGTAGTACCTTATTGCATTGGTGTTATTTTGTCGAAAGTAATCTTTTCGATATCATTGCTGTTTTGCCGGGAGAAAACTTCTAGTTAGCATACTCTCGTTAGTTTTATTTACTAATTTTTGGTTGTGACTCGAACCACGCGGTTTCGGTTGATCAAGATATTTCATTTTTTCTGGGATGTTTTGTTCCGGGATACTCGTTTCTTTCCAATTTTACCGAGTTTATTTGCTGCTCACGCTGTTATAGATTAATATTATTTGACAATTTTGAAAGTTGGAATTTTAAACAGTCATTGTTTGTTTTGGTAGTATTCAGGGAAAGTTCCTGAGAGATCAGCTTCCGGAAATTTTTGGATGCGGAAAATGCGCTTTTCATGAATTGCTATTGCAGACCAAAAACAGCGGGAAACAGAAAACGTATATTTATATTTTTGGCGTTTATTTTCGTTGCTTGTCGGGTTTTTCTTTTTTCATCCTTTATAACATCCTATTGTGGATGTGGTATTCATTCAACCATCTGTCAGAAGGGCACACACGCAAAGTGCACATTAATTATTGGGAAGGTGGATTTGCTAGTGCTGAAAGGTTGAGAGAAAAATATACATACTGGGATAAAAAGTGCATATTCATTCTTCTTTGGATGTTCGCTATAAAATCCACCGATCATATGCTGCTTTTCTTTTGTTAACTTATTCTACTAGCAGATCTGTTGGCTGTTATTCTGATTTGCGGGCAGTATCCAAAAGTTACTGGTAACTAACGGATAAGTAAATAGCAAGAAAGGAAAGTAAAAATGGTTTTTCTATGTACTTCACCTCCAACATCACCTCCAACCTGCTGTACGGAATATGCACGCATGAAGGAGCTAGATTCAAGCTTAGCAATGCTTTCAAACTATAGTCAATCAACCTCTAAAACCTCTAAAGCACAATGGCGACAAACTATCGCGTCGTGTATGGATGGGATGATGGCTACCTTGGGTACATTCGATGCATTGAATCAGACCGGAGCCTTGATTACTCCACCAGCAACTCCGGATACTGTGCAAGATAATGCCATACATCGATGGAGTGCATCGTCGGTTTCGTCGATTAGTTCTAGAGATTCGGCTAAAATTCTGCGAACATCGCCCTCACTGTATACCAATCAACAATCTAGTTGGTCTCCTTCATCAAGTTTGAGTTTCGGTGAAATGTCCGACAAACCAAATCGTACAATATCAACCGATGCATCAGCTGTATTTCTTGATTTTGTTGAAGTCATGAGGTAAGCATCGTCCAATCTCATTTTCATCGTTTCATTCCAGTTTCGTGCAAATTAGGAAGGATTTGATTGGTAATAAATATGAGGTTCGCAACTGAATTTGAACTTGAACTTCAGCTTCTTTTGGTTCACCTTCTCGTAACTCATTTGCATTTTCTTATTCTCTTTTACTTTTTGCTTCTCACAGCATAGTTCGGGGCAATTTTGCAAGTGGGTGGTAATTTCTGGAAGTGTTTCGGCCTAAAGTATTAAACTTTTTAGCATTTTCAATTTGATACTTTTCTTGCTTCGTGCATTTGATATTGTAGCGAAAGGTACTGTTGTAACTGTTGCTATCAACGTTAAAAAAGGATGGAAATGTTGTGTTCCCGATGTATAGGAATTTTGTTAAATAATGAGGTATCAGTGATAGTGATAACGAGGTGACTGTTACTAATACCACTGCTACTTCAAGTAGTAGGTATATTACTATGACAAAAAAACGCTTGTATCAGTAAGACCTTCGACTCATGCACTAAGTGTACTCGCATACATCGAATTTATACGTATTAGCCGTCAGCCTCTTTTCACACTTTCATATTTTACTGTTTTATTGTTAGAATCAAATTCAGTGCATTGTTGAAGGGAACTCTTCTTCAATTTTACATGAACTTTCTCTGCCATGAAGGTTGCCTTTGTATCTGACAGGCAGCTGGAGGTTTTTGAGACATAATAAGGTAATGTGTCTTGGTAGTGTGGAAATAAGGGATTAGGAATTGAATAGATTAGAAGCTCTAAATTGTCATTATTTCTCAGTGAAACATTCAGTCATACTTAGTATGCAAGCACTCTTGCAGTTTATTTATACTAATTACTTTATTTGATTATATTTTTATATAATCAACCTAAAAAATTAGGTCAGGGATAGGAAATATAAGCAGTGATTATTCATATGTCAAAAGTTTTTTCTTTTAAATTTCAATTTTTGTGACCTGATTATTAATCCTTAATTTAAACAAGAGATTAAAAAGTTAATGTATTAGTAGTTAATATATTATATTCACTATTCTTTATCTTGCAATCTATTATCATAATTCATTGTTTCCCGAGCATTTTACTAAATATGGCTACTTTTTGAGAAAAATTACATTATAGCACAGTATATGCTTTTTTGTCCTCTTCCCTTTCTCTTCTATTTCTCTTTATAATCGATGCTAATTCGAAATATAAAATGTGCCTTCTTGTTTCAACCCATTCAAAAGTCTCTTTTTTCTTTCTTTTCATAATACTTTTTCTTGAAGTGAATGAATTTGTCTCAGGATTAAAAATGAATTTGTCTCAGGATTAATGTATTATAGAGTGTTGTTAAAAATTATCGTTTATTATCTGGTTTCGTCGGCGACTTAACCCCATCTACTGTGCTCTGTATTTAGTTTATTTTAGATTCGGTAAAGAAATTGATGAAAATTTTTGCCAAAATAAAATTAAAAAAGAGTACAGCTTTTGCGTAGTAAAACAGTTTTCAAGTGAAATTTATGTTAATTAAAATATAACAATTTAAGGAAAAGAGAATGCTAATACTCAATAGTGTGTTTGCAGGGCAGCAACAAGTACATCAACAACCGGTCAAAATGTAGTTCCTATTGATAATAAAATTGAACAAGCCATGGTTAGTACACTTTTTGTTTGATTTTCCCAGGAAGTTAATTTTGGATCTTTTAGATTCGATAGCCTCGTCATCATAATTACACCACCTCATTACTGTTGTTCTTTATAGCTAATGGTTAAAAGAGTGAGCACTTTGTTGCATATTGAGTTGGTTTTCTTTTTTCAAATTACTGCTTCTTTCAAATAAAATTCATCAAATACTGGTTGAACCAAAAATCTTGAGTCATCGGTTTAAATTTTTTTTCTCGAGAAATAAGTTTCCTACTGCAATAGTTACAACGAGAATTTTGATCAAGAGAGAGAAAGGGCAGTGTTTTTTGACACTTCCTATGGAAGTTCAAAAAGTTTCAATTCTGGTGCTTAAATTTTTGGAATTAAAAATGAAAGGTCGGTCACCCTTGGCTTCGAAAATGTTATTTTGGCAAACAGTGTTATTTAAACGGCTAGTATTGGATGCGGTGATGTTTGGTCATCAGAAATAAATCTTTTCAGCAATATTGTAAAGTTGAATACTAGTAGCAGCATGTCAGTAGTTGCTGATTGTCAGTTTTGATCATATTTCTGAATGGTCCAGAGAATTTCCCTTTTTTAGAATAAAACTGAATAATGAGGACATTCTCTCAACCCGTGAAAACAAGTCTTTTGTGAAATATTTTGTTGTCTTTTTTAAAGATTTGCTTACTTAATTCCATCTGCTTCTAGGACTTGGTCAAGACCCATCTAACATTTGCTGTCCGCGAGGAAGTGGAAATCCTGCGCTCCACAATTGTTGAATTGGAAGCAAAGGTAGATGGTAATTCCTTGTGCAATTCTAGTGTTTTGATTCTATGACCAGAGAGAAAACCAAGCTTTCATTTTTGTCTTCTTATAAAGCCCAAGTTTAGTTTTCTTTATAAAAATTCTCGAGACTTTACTTTCTTGAGTAATGTTATGCTTTTTCCAGGTTGCACAGCTGGAAAGCCAAAATCAAGTGTTGAAGCAATTTGCTCCAGTTGAAGTAGTCAATTCATTGGCAGTACTTGTACAGCAACAGCAGCAAAGGCAGTTACAGTTACAACAGCAACAACTATCCTCCGGTGCCACCTCACCGAATCCTGCACAGCCTGTTACTGTCCAAGTAATATATCTTTACATACTTTTAAAAGTAAAATGTATCAACTTTCATTCAGTATTTATGCATTTGAAGCTATATCTTTTCGCATTATAAAATGAAATTTGATTAATTCGATTGGTTCTGAACGAACACTTAAAAAATTCGGGGATATTCATCCTTTGACTATCGAAATTCAAGTTTGTAGTGTATCAAATGAATGCTTGGTCCTTTTTTCCTGATGATGCTTTTTGGAGATTCTTTGAGCAGGTTGATAGACATATACCAGTTTGATGAAATTTTAAGATGATTGTCATTTCTCAAGAAAAAAAAGTGAAGGAAGGATGTCGAAGTTTAGAAAATTTGTATTTTGTTCTGTGCATTAACATAATTTTATATGGATCATTTTTAAAATTTTTTATACATTTTTCCTCGTTTTCAAAGTTCCTTCTTGTTTAAATAATGTCACTTGTTTGTGGTTTTCTTCGAATTAAAAGTTTTTTTCCTTGCATTTTTTCCGTAAAATATGTTTTTCGGGATACTGCTTTTGTTTTGCTTTATTAACATAAGTAAGGTAAAAAATCTTTCTAATCTAAGTATTATCGCACGGGCGTTATAATAAGTTTAATTTTGTGTAATTTATGCTTTAGGTGAGGACGGAGAGGGATTTTGAGGAAAAAGTTCGGAAAAGTTGAGTTGGACAGGATTTCTAAATGAAAATATGGATGGGGTAATAAAGTTTTTATTCCATGGATTTCTAAATCTCTCTGTTGGCTACTTACAAAAAAAAAAAAAAATCCAAATCAAAATCCAGTTATGGTCTTTTCGACAGCGAAACTACCGAACTGTTGAACAAATGGTTAGGAGATTTCGAAATGTTATTTCACTTAACAGCAGCTGTTTAAATTTTTCCTTGTGCTTTAAACCTATCAGTTCATTTTGCATTATTGAATGACTCATGGAAATATTGTTTTTTCCTATCTATTCTTACTTTAATTCTTTTTCTTCTGTCGAAACTTTTTTCTCTTCCGACTTTATATCCATAGTTTTCCCAAGTTGAATTTAACTATACACTTTATTACAACGAAATATTTACAAGCTATCTCTAATTTACAGTTAGCTTTGTTGTGAGTTTTTATGTTGTTAACAAAGCAATATGATTATCTTGTTGCGTAACCTCGCCTATGACCTTACACTTGTCATGATCATATATGTCTAAGTTGGGAATGAATTCCATGATGCCAGCCATCATTACATCATTCCATTTTATCTACTATTTGATGGGATAAAGTTATTTTGACAAAAGAACTGAAGTAGTTTGATGGGTAGCATCAAGTCTCAAGTTCCCATCACGTTAATCTAACTGCAAATTTGTGACTAGCCGAGGGAAAGGGAAACTTCATATTTTAAGCAAATGGTAATGTTGCAGAATGTGCCAATATCAGTTCAAGGCATCCAGAAGCAATCGATGTCTGCGATGACATCTGAAATTTCTGTTGGTCCAGCTTCTTTACAAGGCGTTGTTCCTCCTGTTGGTTTGCTATCTCAAATACAACCTAGCGTGGAGCAAAAGCAGGCAAAACAACTTCCCGCTACTGGTAACATCGTTGGTTCCGACTTGCAGTAACAGTATTGTTGGTTTGAATTACTTGTGCTATGCTTTCTTTTTCTTCATTTTGTATCGATATACCAAAATTTGTGTAGCAGTTGTAAGCGGTAACTTCTATGTTTCCAAAGAGAGAGGAGAGAAAATGAATTGCCTTCCATCATGAATAACTTGTATTGAAGAAATTGTGGTACCACATTCCAATATTTGTGGTCTCGAGTCGAAAAAAAAACTTTACTGAAAAAACTTTGGAAGTCCCGAGGAAAAGATGGAAGTGGAGATCATTATTCTAGGAAACACTTAGGAATCTATTAGTTTTTCATCGGCCTGTTTTGCATTATTCTCTGTGCTGTACTGGATTATTAACCTATTTGTTTCGAGCTTTTTGGATTCCACTGGCAATATTTAAGGCTGGTAGGAAGATAGCTAGTTTAGTCAAGTGAATAAAGTAAATCAAGTGTTAAGTAATGCTGACGGATTATCAATATTTTTTTGTTGCGAAGCTTTCCAGTCTTTCTACTATGGCAGAATGATGTGTCGGAAAATTTTCGTGTTGCAGAGGAAATGGAGGATTTGAGATTTCTGATTTTGATTACTTCATTCAGATTAAGACTAGGCCTGAGAAAAATTTGTAATATTGGGGAAGTTACATTTATCAAAATGAAATGAATTAATTGAATTACTAGGTGAAGTGAAATCACTGACAACTGTTTGTATTCGACAATTTCATACTAGATTCGTTTCAATTTTGATTGTTCATATATCATAATATCGTTCATCTGTAATTATGGTTTATGACATGAAGTAGCAACGTTTGCGCATTTTTCATATGTCCACTTTCGAAGTATATTCGCAACTTATGCACATGGTATGATGTCAAGATTCGAAGCATTGGTTTCAAGTTGATGGTGCTGTTGAACCAGAACTGGTTGATAAAAGACGATATATTTTTCACAATATGTTATGAAGTGTTGTTATTGTCTATGAGTTTTTTAAAGTACTTACTGAAATTTAATCAATTTAGGCGTCAGTCCAATCTTATATAATTTGAATTTGAATCTTCCATATGCTTTATCTTCTGGCAAGTCCTCGTGCAGTATTGTTGATAATAGCTGAATGATTATTAGGAAAGTACAATTAGCGTTTTTTGAGGGGCTTGCTCGTGCAATGCTAATGCACTGTAATCAGTTAAGAATTTTTAAACATAATTATGGTGCTGTTTAAATAAAAAGCTTCTTTTTTCTTCTAAAATTCGAAATTTTTAATAAAAAATGAAGAATATGAAGATTTGTATTAATCAGCAATACAAAGTGTGCATGCTTTGAAATTGTAGTGTACTCATTTATTTGGAATACAGATTATGTTTGGTTGTTGTAACATAAAAGAGTATTAATGAGCAAGGGGCGATGCATTTTCAACCTGTTTAACAACCAGTAAACTTGAATGAGCCATCACTCATCAGATCTGATGATATATTACGTAGTAGGGGTTGGATTTTCTATTTTGGTTATACCGTCTGACAGATGGAATACACACGTGATTTACTTTACGATATCTGAAAATGTGTGCGTCATCAGACAATCAAAGGCCTCAAAAAATGGATTCTCTAATTTGAATCCACGAACCTACCATTCAATTAACCGCTAATCAATAAATATTTGGGAAGCTGGATTTATGATTGAGAAGTATGGAACATGAATAAACATTCGATACACTTTTGATTGAATAATATGTCCTTCACAAGTCGGTAGGGGGTTTTTTTTTTTATTAATTTGATGGCTAAGGATGGAAATATTGATGTGGTGTTTTCGTAATGATAACGTTTTCGTACTTATTCGGTGATTATCTTAATGACTTCCAGGCAATGCAGATTATACTGTTTAGCTGTTGTGAGTACAAATGAAAGCATTTCTTGAAGTGATAAAATTATGCGTCATACTGATAAGAAAAGAAAGTGGATGAGGAAAAGAAATTAGCTCTTCCTGACCATGAAAAGAACGAATTACAGAATCCGAAACATATTTTCTGTTTCCTCTTAATTATTAAGTTATCATTCCTTTTTATACTTCTGATCTATATTATCATTAGATTTGTATTATCGAGATCAATTGATTAGTGGTAGATCGTAAGCATGATAGATATATTCTGATTGTGACAGTAAGACATTCTTAAATCATACTCTGTCATCAAGATAGTAACACCAATGATATCAGATATCGCTTGATAGGAGAAGAAAGATGATGTTAAGCTTTATTTCATATTTCACTAGATTTTAATTATACTGATGTAAAAAGACTTAGTTCTCATACGATAAAGAGATGACACATTAATAATCATTTGATAAAGTTCATTGATGGCTTCAGTATACTGTAGATATACTGTACGTCTACGGTATCTACGGTACTATATGTATACACGTGCGCTGCGTATGTGTATGTGTGTCTGTGTGTGTATGTGTGTGTGTGTATGTATAAGGATATATACGTGTAGGGATATATGTTCAAGGATATTTATTCTTAAAATACTTTCTTACTCACATTAGATAAGATGAAATGGAAAATGAAGTTTTCATCTCTCGTCTTTTTTCCTCTCCCTCTCTCTCTCTCNCNCCTCTCTCTCTCTCTCTCT